ACATCCCGCGCATTTAATTTGAATATCAAGCACCCCTGTGTGTGTGTGCACATAATATTATACCCCTCGCCGAAGCCAAGTCATGCAAGCTTGGCCGGGTCAATTGATGTGTCCAAACTGGTCCATGCCATGGTAGCTGACGGTTCACTCATATAAGGAATTGACATGATTGAATCGGAGCTCCCTTCAAATAGCATGAAAATAAATATTTATATTAATTATTCCACTTATTGCAGAATTTATTCAAACGGGGATTCATTTTTCCTAATTTTATTTCCAGTTTTGGTTTATAAATAAACAGAAAATACACTAAATACTATCCAATTTTTTTAATAAAAACATGAATTTTTTTCCCAAATTATAAAAAATTCGTTTCATCTGGGGTACAAAATTGTTGGTTTTATCTCAGATTTCCTTTGCTAACAAAGACCATGACTGTTTATAATTAATTTTGGGCTTTCAAATGAAGTCTATGAGTTTAAAATAGTTGCATATTTCAGTAAACAAAATAAAAAATTGATTGAATGATAAGTTTTTTTTATCAAAAAATTGAATTTGAAAAAAAAACCATCTGTAAATTACTTTGAATTTTTTATGATACAAACTAGAAGTTATGCCAACGTCTGCAAACCTCCGATTCTGGGAGATATACCCACGTCTGATGGTTACGAAGGTTAAAAGGAAAAACTCGACTGGTGTATCTTTGAACTTTGTAAAAACGTAACCATACGTTAGGAGCAGCAAACAGACCTTGGTGCTGAATGAGATAGACATTCAGGAAGGCAAAAGGCCATGTTTTTCCAACTCTAAAATAAAGCTTCTCTGTGCTGAACCGTTTCCATTGCTACGACTATCAGTTGAAATACTTCCGAATTTAAGTGTTGGTTTTAGCGGAGATAAAAATATTTTGATGTAAGAAAAAGTACCCTATTTAAACTTAATTTTTTGGCTAAAAAGTTAAACACTAATAATTTGTTATATTTATCATAAATTTACTTATTACTAAATATTATAGAGGAAAAATTATGATTTACACACCATTTTTTATCCTTTTTGCATGCACAATAATAATACTTACTGATTTTGTATATTTTTTTCTTTTTTGAAGATTTTTTAAAGAAACATATAGCAAAATATTTATTTTTTCCTTTGTCTCTCAATAGCATTTCTAGTTGCTACTGACAATGAATTGAATAAAACGTTGACGGAGAAATTAATACCATGATACGATTGGCAAACACTCCGTACATAAAATCGATAGCGTCAGTTGGGCAACCTAAGCACTTTGGAAGTAGAGATACACAAAATAATGACAGAATAATACAGTAAATTAGAAATAAAAAAGTCTGTGAGAAATGACGTCAATCGGCAAACACGTTTATCGATTTTAAATGGCATTACGAATCAGACAGAGGACGTTGAAAATGAATGCCGTGAGGTGAATTTTCGCGCATTTATATCGACGAAAAAAGGCGCGGTCTGAGAACAAAAACGGTGTTTTTTTCTCTCTCTGGTAATCTGCAGAGGCGCGGGAGCAGCTCAATTTCGTTTTATTTCGCTAGTGGAGAAGAAGAAAATGCACGTTTGATTGAAATCTCCACGTCCCAAAACGACGCAGCATATTGCACAGCAGCTCGAACACATGCAAATAGGGCGTGTGAATGCGAGGGTGTGCGGAGCAAATGGCATCCCTGTCATCCTTATCAATCTTTATTTGCAGCCCGGCGTTTTCTCCTCTAGTAAAACACGGTGTCGCGTTTTATGGAAGCCTGGCTCGCTTCTTATTGTTATTGCCTCGGAATGTAAAAATCAAAGTTACGCGCCGCGCTTTATTGCACGGCCGGCCTCCCCAAAGCAAAGTCCGCCTAAAGTGAAAAGTGACAAAAATAAGCCCGAGGAATGAACCATAAAACGAGCAGTAATTCAAGCGGCCGCCTCGGGGAATTTGCCTGCTTTAATGTGCAGCGGAACGGAACGAAACGAATTCAGCCGGTGCACCTGACAGTGACACAAAGTTCCAGGACTCGGCACATCCAATTTCCGGGGCCAACCCTTTGTGGCTTTTGACTTTTGCACGGATTTCAGAATGGAAAAGTCGCGTGCATAGAGAGAGTCAATTAGCGCTCGCTGAAATATAATTCGCCTTGGGACTGGGTTTTGATTTGAAATGTCACTCTCGTCCTCCGCTCTCCCCGCAGCAGTGAAAATCATTTCAGAGAGTGATGAAGAGATTCGCAGACGTGACGAGTTTTGCAGCTGCAAACTTTCGCTGCTTGATTAATTTAGCGAGTGATAAGATGAGCAGAATTTAACCCGTTGATGGAAGAAATCAAAACTTTTCACACAAAATTAATGTAGGGGCTATAAAAATTTTATAAACTTTGGTTGTCATTTTCAAACGTTAAAAACAGACGGGATTTGAAGACCGACTTTGAGATTTAAAAAATCATAGATTGAATACAGAGGTTCTTCGGAGATTTGAAAATTTAAATAAATTTATAAATTAAATTAAAATATTTTATCAAAATTTGTAAGGTTGATTTCTAATTTATGGATCTCGTCTCTCTGGGGAAATATTTCTCCATCTTTCTTGTCGGTGTTAATAATCGACGGAAGCAAAAAGTGCGTTTTGCAAAGTGAAATTAATTAAGCAACAGGAGTTGCCAGACCACAGTGAAAATATACAAGGCCGTATATAAGTGGAATTTATGCGGTGCGTGCGTTGTGTGTTTAGTACATGCGTTTCGCCATTTGTTTCGGTGGTAATGCGACAAAAGTGGGCGAACCCAGTCACTTATTCTCTGCTCACAGTCCGCGACGTTTGCTGCTCTGCTCAAATCGGCGCAACACAATAAATGTAAATTTCACAGCTCAAAGGGTTTAATTAACGAGACGCTTATTCTCTCGCCGTGCACCGGTGGTGCTGCCGCGCGACTCCCCTTTCCAGCTTCAATCGGGTGCAGTGTTCGAGTGTATAATTCAATTTGCCGCGAGTGCCGTGACTAATTTTGTACATTTTAATTGCACGGAAAGGTCTCAAACGAAGTTTCGCGACGAAACTCGATCAGCGGAAAGCGAGTCGCAAAGAGAGTGGCGCGAGTTCAAAGGAAAGAAGATCAAATGAGTGGCAGGTATCGCTTTTCCTCGGAATTTTTCGCACTCTAAGTTGCTCCAGAGAGACAAAATTCAACTCGGAAAGTAAGGAGAGTTCATAAAATGTTGCTTGTATATTTTTTAAACGTTTTATTTTGAAGGTATAAAAAAGTTAAAAGAAGTTTTACAAAAAAATAAGCAAAATGAAGCGCAATCTTTAACAAAAATGTGTATTTTATTAAAAATTGCTTTGATTTGACACTGTTTTTCGTTTTCACATAAATTATACATATTTTTTTCCATTTGAATTTTCCTCTAATCTTTAAAAAAAATTTGTTGAAGTTAAAAAAAAGTAAAAAGTTGTTCAAAAAGTTTGCTGCAATCGAAGTATCAGATAGTATTTTAAAAGAGTTTCTAGGGTTTTTCTTTTTTCTATGGAAGCAATCTTTATAGATTTCAAAGCTAAGTCAGTTTTTTTATTCACCAGGAAACTTATCAAAGCCTTCTGCTTTTTCAACATCGTGCAAGCGTTGAATCTGCATTTGACGGTGCTCTTAATCCAGTTTTAAAATGCAGGGAAAAAATTATTTTCATCCATACTCTCAGCGGAGAAAAGCGTCTGCACTCGCGCGGCTTCGCATTATCCAATACCATTTTTTGTACAGCGCCAAATCCATCCCGCGATATATAATAGAATTTAACAGCTGCGCAGTAAAGCCGGAAAAGGCCGTAGCATGAAATTTTTCCACTCGCGCGCCGTAAATATGAAATTTTTAATAATCGCCCGCGCCAGACGCAGCATTTATTCTGGGCACGCGCGCACACACTGCAGCACCAAATGCAAGCCCGGGGCGATGAAATTGGTCCCGGCCGGCGCAGCCAGAGTCACTTTACTAATTCCACCGGTCGGCTTGACCTAATAAAGAGTGACACCTCGGCACCGCACCAACGGCCCTCTAACACAATAATAATGGACGCGCCGTTTCATCCCCTCCGTCAAACCCTCGCCCCCACTACTTGCTGGAAAAAAAGCTTTCAGGCCTAAAATTTGTGATAAACCGCGTTCAAAACAACAACCGGTTTTTGCATTATTGCAGTCTTTAAAGATAATTTTTTTAATTATGATCAGTTTATCTGGATTGTTATATAATTACAAAATGGTTTAATTCGTTTTAATTATTGGAAATTTAATTCATTTTGATTTTTAAAATAGATTTAGAAATAAAAAAAGCAAAGTTTGCACAAAAAAGAAGTCAAATCACAATAATCTTGTTATATCTTTGCAAAAAATAAAAATAAATAAATAAAATAAAATTTTAAGAAGTTGTTTTTCGACGAAAATTATATTATATTATTTTATATTAAATTCTACTTAATTTCAAAGCCGTTGGCTATGCAAAAACTGATTCTACTTAGATAACTTTTAGGTTGTTCATTATGGTACAAACTTTAATTTTCCAGCACAATATTTTTTATCAAAGATTAAGCAGGAGCTTGTGCATATCATTATAAATTTGATCCTTGCTATATTTAAATGAAATATTTTAACTTTCTAATTTTAATTATAACATTTTATAATATTTTTAATAAAAAAAACTTTCTTTTAAATAAAAGGAAATTATTTAATGGAACATAATTTTTAAGCTCTCAGCTTTCTCATATAATATTTTGAATTTCATTTCGTGATAGAAGATTTTTTAAATATTTAATTTTTTTTTTTTTTTTAAATTGAGTAGAGAACTTATGAAGCCTCTCGGACGGCGTTTTCGCCCGAAGCCCGACTCGTGTCGCGCCGCGGCAAATCAATGCACGCGGTCCTTGTGCTCCGCGGCAGGGGGTGGCGCCTTCGGATGTGCTGGGGCGCAGGCCCTTGCGGCAGGGTCGGCCGCCTCCTGAATGCGAGCGGCGCGGCGCCGCTCACTCGCACACAAACACCCCGACCTTCTTCTCTTGCTCCTCTCTTTCTCTCTCGCGCTCTTCTCTCTTCACTCTTCTGATCTCAACGACAAACAGCAGCGCCGAGTATAATTTGCCCGCTCGGCAAACATTATTTTCGCTCTCAGCTCCGATGGGCCGATAGCGACATAATTCCGCAATCAATAGCGGACGCCACAGACAGACGGACGCTTTAAGAGAAAGAGGAGTGCATGAACTTTGTACTCGTAACGAGCCACTCGTGATTTAAGCCAACATGGACATCCTAGGTAGGCCTTGTTTCAATTCTTCTTTCTCTTTCCTGTTCTCTCCTGTTTACACCCCTTCTCCCTTTTCTGGATGTGCATAAATAATTATTCCGCATAAACAAAACGTCAGCATTTTACGATTATTGCCGCCCTCCTCCTCCCCTCGGCCGAAATCGCTGCCGCATTGTTTGCCGCCGCTCGGTCGACGCCGCCGCCGCCGCCGCAATCCGCATGATCATTGATCATCTCCATTGTTGGGAAACTAACTCGGCACTTCTCTCCACTCACTTTGCGCCCACTTTACTGCTTTCCCGGGACCAAACTCGATTTGTGAGCAACGAAGTGCCCAGTCAGGCAATTGCAATTTTGTATAGGAAGAAATCGAGTTTCAAAAGAAAGAAGTGCTTTTTTTTCTGTTAACAAGCAAAATCAACTTTAAAGACAACAAAACGTTGAAAAAAAGAGTGGTAAAAATAACAGAGAGGCTGATTTACAGCTATTTTGATTTCTTTGTAGAAATAAATAATTATTTGCCCTGTTATTGAGTAAAAAATAATTATTTTCATTATTTCATCTTAGTCTAAATTTAAATTTAGGCAAAAAATCATATTTAATGTTTTCGGCAACTTTTAATTTCTTTTTAACTTGAAACAAACTGCGTAGGTGCCGAGCGAAAAGTTTAGCAGATTTCCGCTGAACTAATGAGGTGATCGGGCCGAACTTTGTTCGAGCTTCCAGCTCAAATTAAAAGTTCCCTCTTTCTATATTTTTCTCCGGCAAACTTCCAGCTCGTTTAAAACATCGGCTGCAGAGCAACTTTTCGTATGTGTGTTTTTTTTCACTTCAGCAATGACACTGCGGCGCCGCATTGATTTTCCATTCATGAGTTATTCAAAAAATCGCAGCAATATCCCAAGGGTCGTCGGCCCAAAGTATATAGCGGCGAATTCTTTGTCTCGAGAGCTGCAGACTTATCAAACTTTGCCGGCGAGCACTCGAAAGACCTATTTTGCTTGGCTTCCTTTCGATCGATTGGTTCGCGCGCCCCTCGGCTCCCAAATCTCGAGGCTCAAATGAAGCGAGAAAGTCATCATCGCGGCCACGAAACGATTTGAATCTGCTGCTAATTCCCCTTTTCAATTAAAATGCACCTGGGAATTCGCCATTCAAACTTGCTGCAGCGCTCAAAGGGCGCTTTTTATTCAACGGGGCTAAAGACGGCAGTACTGCGGCAACACGCCAACTGCAGCATTTTCCGCCCGCCTCCCTCTCGAAAAATTTTATGCCGCCGCTGCTTATGATGCATGCACCCCTTTATGCTAATTAACGCCGTCGGCCGAATTAAAACAGGCTGAGAGAATTATCATTAAATCGCGCCGGGGATTTTTTTCCGTTCCGTCTGGCTGGAGTTTCGAGTGCGTTTTATTTATTTTAACATTGGTCGTGTTTTGAAACGCGTTTTTGCACGCCACGCTGAATTTGTCCACGCAAATCCGCGCCCGAGTGTTTATATTTGAAGCATTATTTTTTTTAATTGGAAAACGCAGCCGGCCGTGAGCGGCAAATAAACTCGGGTGTCTTTTTGATTCTCGTATAAAAATTATTCATTTATGTATTTTTAGTGAAGTTTGAACATTTTTTGTGCGGCCTTGTTTCGACGACCTTTGTAAAAGGCTGTTCTCATTTAACTTTGTAATGCGACAATTAGGCGCACGCAAGCCACGTATGTTAATCAATTATTTGCCCAGCACAATGCACTGATTCAATTACAGTGACAAATCAATTTTCAGCTTAATGGACGGGAAAATTCGACGCTAAGGTTTTTTAACTGTGACGTGTGAATTTCCTTTTAATGGAATTTAAATGAAATAATAATTAATTTGGTGCTTTAAAACAGAGAGCAGCAAAATTATAACATAATCATTGAATTTTGGGCACTTTTTGGAAAACATGGTAATCCTGAAATATTAAAATTTTAAAATAAATGAATCAATTAAAGATAATATCGGATAATATTAAATATTAACTATTTGAAGAGATATTTCTCATCGTGATTTTAATTTCAATTTCAACATTTTTGTATTCAAATCACGCATTTCTTTTCTTTTCTTTTCATCGTTAGAAAGCAGAAGTACTTTATTTTTATTTTTGTAGAATTTGCCTCAATTTTTTTTGCAATTTTTGCAATTCTTTTTATTATTTAAATCTGCTTTGTGGAAAGAATTGTGGCAGAGGTCGCAGTTCGCAAAACAATGTCAAGCGACCAGAGACTACTCGGGACTCATTAATTATTCATCCAGCGTGATGGTGAGAGAAAAATCAAAATGCAGCGACTGGAGAACACGCAAAATTAAAACATTACGCCCAAGCTAATGGGCGCCGAATGCAAATTCGTCGTGCATGCGGCGCAAATTCCAAATAGCCCCATCTAATATGCATCCCGAGGCAAAAACGGAGCAAATAAAGCGGCGAGCCGGCCGACTTTTCTCTCCCACGGCGACACACCAGCCGGCCTGCATGTCAATTAGCCGGGCCGCGTATGCAAATTGAGCGCGACCCTTTTTCGCCGCGACACGAATCGCGTTTCAAAAAATGGACTGCCGCCAGATTGATTGCTGGCGGCTTTATCAATATATACGTGCGCAACCCCTATGTATGTGCTCAGTAATCGGATAATCCCTTAATGCAGCTTGTCGGCGCTCGAATAAATGCCCCGCTGCCTTTTTAGGTGAAAAAAAAGAAAGTTCGGAGCCAACAATGTACAAGCGCCCCTCGCCCATAAATAACAGCGCACACATGCTTTGCATGCCCCCGACATTGTATATGAACTGCGGTCGAAAACGGCTAGGCAACCGTTGCGTTGCTGCTGCTGCACTGGTTGCATAACTACGGCGATCCCGACCCGCTCTGGGGCCGATACCGAGCGGGCCGAGATCGTTTTATAACACGCTGTGGCTGCTGCATTGTAAGGCCATGGCACCACTTTCCGCCATTTTTAAATTATTCATTCAAACCAAGTTTTTTCTTCCCAAATATTAATTTAATAATGATAAAAATTTTAGAGAATACAAAAGTTCTGAACTTTTAAGGGTAAATATTAATTACATATTTTCATCAATTTCATTGTTCCTGGAAATTAAATTAATAGGAAAAATATAAATATACTTTCAATGGGCATCAAAAGCTTTCCCTACAAGAAGGAATTAATTAAACTGTTTCATTAATTAAATGTATCAAGCAATACTTTTCTGTTAATTAACTGTTGAGCCTCGTTTTTATTACATAAATTTCATTTCCAAATCTTAAATAAAAATGTATTCTTCTTCCTCTGGAAATAGTTAATTTTTACTGTTAAATAATTTCAGTAATTTGATTCAATTCAAGCGATTATAATTTCCATCGTAAAGGTAATTAAGTTTCATTATAATTTAACTTCCATTATTCATAATTGTCTCTCGGTTATTTATCAGCAAAAACTTTACAGAACTGTGAAGCGTCGTTCATGTCGAAATTGCTCTCTTGACGGAACGTTAAAAACAAGTTGCAGGGGGAAGAGAAATATATGATAATTGCCCGCGCTTAAACGCAAGCAATAATTATCAGCGAGAGACGCGCGCAGCCGAGAGCGTATTAGCATGAATAATTGCTCTCAATTCGAGAGAGACAATTGCCCGCAGCGCGCGAAAAGACGCACCATTACCATAGCAATTATGAGAAGCCGCGGCTTTTGCTGCAGCGGACGGATAAATGTGCAGTACATTTCGCGCGCCGGTCGCCAGCAGCTGATCGATGTGCGAAATTTGCTCCGGGTTTCACGCTTTGTTTGGCAACCGGAATCGCAATGCCTTGTTTGATTTGCCTCTGTTTGAACTGGCGTGAATTCGTGCCTAATAACGCAGAGCCAAGTCTCGCACAAGCGAGTGCTTCTCAACCAGAGCTGCGAGCGGCGGGCGGCCCTTGATTAAGCAATTTCACCCGACCAACGTGCTTTATCTTTTGGAAATGACGTCTGCTTACGCTCTAAATACTGCAAGGATTCGTTGGAATTTCTAAATATCTTAAAATTTTGATCTTTTAAATGTATCAAAACAATAATATTTTAACTTGAGAACAATTTATGGAAACTTCTGAAAATGGAATATTCAAATTTATAATTTATTATTTCCAGATGCTGAATTCGTTAAAAAAGAAACCTGCCAACAATAATTTTATGAAAAATTACCCCCTTAAATTTTATTATGAGACAACCCTGTTGTTTCATCTTCCTTGTAGGCTGACTAATAATTTAAAAATTTAGTTACAATCTTTTGAGTCCTTAATTTATTTTTAACTTAAAATTTAATCCAGTCTTTTAAATAATTACATTTTTTTTATAGCTACTGGTTTATGGAAGGGTTGCATATTATATTCATGTTTTAGATTCCGCCGTTCAAAATTTCAGATCCTTTTTATTATGCTCCTCCAGCTTTCGCAGCATTAAAATTTATTGGCAGACGCTTTCGGCTTTTTGCAGAAAGTTAATTAGAATTGTGCAAACGGCTCAGCCATTTGCCCCCTATAAACATTACAGTAGGTCTGCGGAAGCAGCGGGAACAAATCACCCGGAAAATTCCCAACGCAATTGCTCCGCCAATTTAAAAAGAACCGGTGGAAATAATCAAAGAAACGCTGAAGCAAGGAAAATGCTGGGCACGTCGTCTCCCCTTTGTCTGGCTGGAGGGAAAGGAGAGAACGCGCCATAGTCTTAATAATTTAAAATCCGGCGCCTTCGTTAGCAGAGTAAATATTAATTTGCCTCTTGCGCTCGAGATTTCCTCAATAATGAACTGTCATGCTGCAGTAATTGAATTTTAAAAGCTGTCGCGCGTAATGAGAAAGTCGATAGCTCACGAAGAGAAGAAGCCGTGCAAAGATAGAGAGAGGGCCACTGTTGCGCGGAACCGCGAATCGATGTGAAATCATTAGCCGCGTGTGCACCCGCAAAGCCTCTCAGATTGCTGCCAAAAATTCTTATCTTTCGA